TTTTTCAAAACATCCTAAGAGAAGTGAAGTGAATAATGTCGTCCTCTATGCAAGTGTTGTGCCATAAGTCATGGCAACGTTTTTTGTAAGAATACGAGCCCGAATGGAAAATACGAAATAAGAGCATGAAAGGGCAAGATATGACCTAGTGCAGACATTTAACAACCACCAATTTGAGGTTTCTCAAATTTATTAAGATATCTGAAATGACAGTACTCATTTCATGGTACAAAGCCTTCTAGCACAAGTTCGAGTTAACAATATTCCAGAAACATTATATAATTTCAGGGTATCATAAACAATATATTGCATATGTCATTATAATACAGAAAAACTACAAGCAACCAAGTATACGTAGTTGTTACACAAAGCAAGTTACGGATATGCACAATTTATGATGATTATATAATATTCATATAAGGCGATATTTTAAATTAAGAAATGGATGCTCTTACTTTATTTTAATAGATAAACTTTATTTTAATAGATCTTTTAATGGGTAAACTCTATCAAATATGATTTAATGAATTTATTACATCAATTTGCTTTCGAAAAAAGACAAACGTAGTTACACACTTTTGAAAGCATTCAATAATTGTATGTCACTAATCCTATTAATACTTACGAACTATGTTTGCCAATTATTCATAACTAAGCAATTACTTACTTTAGGACCTGTTGATTTTATTCGTAGATTTGACATTCGTTGGAAGCATATATTTCGAGTGAACGAAAATTTGCACTGTCCAGACAGGTGTTAAATGTATTTAGGCTTGGTTAATTCTCTTCAGAGTTAAATTGTTTCACAAATTCCCGACTAAATACATTCATACGATCAGGGATCGATAAAGGCGTATTAATACGCGGCCTTTATTGTAGCATTCTTTGTCAAATCAATTTAGTAATACTGCGGACCTGTTGACAGCCAAGGTAAATAAAATGTTACGCATTGAAATGCGTATCGAAATGGAAGCTTTGGATACTTTTGCACGTAACGTAACGATGTAAACAAATAAAAACAAACAACACGCTTGTCCAACCCGAAGGGTTCTCGGGGTGAGGAAAGCGTCCGAGACACTACCAGGGTCCTCTAATGCTCATAATGCGATTAAACCCGACCAGAGGGGCGGAATAGCACGGAGCGGAGGAAAGTTAGTGGTCGCGCAGAGGGGTGAAGTTGGGCCAAATGCAGTGAAGCGCGCTGAGATGAGCGGAGAAGCGGGAGGAACGAATGGAGAGTCGCGCAGAAGGACCAGTCGCAGAGGCAGAAGAAGATACAAAAATAGAGAATTGCAGGTTCGAAAGTCCAAGAGCGTAATGATGAGGAGTGTAATGTGTCGAGAAATGGATGCGATGAGGAGTGCAGTGTGTGGAGAAATGGAGAGGAGAATAAAAAAGATGAGAATGAGTTAAATGAGGCGTCAGAAAACAGTTGCTCCCAGGAGCGAAGAGGAATTTGACTCCCGACTGAGTAGTTCCAGAGTGTTTTTAGAGGTTCCCCCTCCTCTCCTTGGACTATTTCTCCGTAATTAGTATTCTCACGGTCAACTCATATTACTCATCGACGTGAATGGACTTGAACGGTCTGAAATAGTCATTGGACGAGAGGATAAAGATGTCCAGTATAAATAGTGGTAGGCAGGTTTTTTTGAGAAGATTAAAAGAACGACAGACCCCGACGAACGGAAAGCCCTGATAATTCACGAGACGCAAAAAGACAAATTAAGTAATAGAACGGGTTGGGAAACATGCAATATAACTAGGAAAATTAAAAAGTACGACGTTATTAGGCAATGGCTATACTGGATGATGCGAGATGGAACATGTGGAATATGTTACAAACAGCAGAGAGTGCTTAAACACTGTACATTATGTGGGTTTTGGATGACCAAGACAAGGAGGAATCCGGAAGGACATATAAAAAAGAAACAGTAAATATTATCCATTACCATGTTGAGTTCAATCAGGAAGAAATTAATGGATTAGAAACGAGTGTGTTACCGTAAGTAGTTGCAGTTTGCAAATGAACTTCGGAACCCGGAAGGTTGTTAGATTTTCCACACAAAAATCAAGATAAAGAATTCGCATTCATTGGTATTTTCCGTCACTTCCGGCAATCAATTCCGGACTCCATATATTTCCCCAGCGGGCTACCACCCCACCCACGACAATCAAACCGAGAGAGATGACCGGGCATTAACTGATGTCACTGTAGTGCCTCTGACTGGGAGGTCCTAGGCTCGAGTCCGGGGGGCAGAATTTTTTATACTGGCTAGACAGCTAGGTTGAATTCAGTCTCTGTCTGGAGGAGAATTCTAGTGGCCGGCCACTTTGATCGGTAGTTTTCTTTGGTTTCACCGATCAATACAAGGTGAATGCTGGAGCAGTATCCTAACAAACGGGTCACGGTCAACGCGCGATCTTTCCTTCCTCTTCCTTGTCCTACACTCACTCCTTACACACACACACACACACAAACACACTTAAAATTACTACAGTTCCCCACATGCCAGAAGACCTATCGGGAGCTTAAAGCTAGACCCGGCTGGAGCAGCGCACCGGTGGTGCGAAATATCTGATTGGTTATTGGACTAATGACCTTAACAGTTGACGGGCCAAAAATCACTAATGAATTAATTTAAAAAAAATAGTTTAGTCGATTACTACTTTAAATACATAAACACTTAAGAATTACAACTTAAACACACACATGCTCCATTTTCATACACGCCTTATCTGTTATCCACGGGCGGAGTGGCAGATGCCGCCGGGACGCGTCGAGGTCGCAAGGCGAGTGTGCGACCTTCAATTACGCTGCGTCCATACGCCCGCCGCCGCCGCTGCCGCACGTGTATGCCAATTAGCGAGAAGCGCGATCTTGCCCCTGTGTTTGCCGTTCGCTTCTGACGCGCACGCGCCGCTGCCCCCGCGCGGCGGAGTTCGATAACGCGCACTCGGGGTCTCACGCCACGCCACGCTTCTCTAAGTCACACCACGCCACGCCACGCCACGCCACGCGACGCCACGCTTCTCTAAGTCACACCACGCCGCGCCACCCGGGTCTCCATGACTCCTATGATTAAGCAATCGATGTGATTGGTATCAGATTAGACGCGGACAACACAGGACGGGCACACCACCTTAATACCAGCACCCGGCATGATATGGAGGACAGAACACGACGAGGAGGTGCGTCGCAAGATTGTATCACGAGCGGACGAACGAAACAGACGGGACAGATGGAATTTACCACATACCAAACTACGTGGGTGTGTGTTTACTAACAATCTTAATACCATCGACTTCCCCACATCTATGCCTCCCTCGTTAGATTTGCGGCTATTGCCCCCATTTTCCTGCACTGCCTTCTCTCATATTATACTCCGGCGCATCTTTTCACTTCACAGCCATGGCTGCCCTTTACTTTCTTTTACTGTTCACCTTTTCATTTACATCGCTTTTTCCTTGGGTACCCTCTACTACCATATGCTTTCACCTGCCTTTATTTCCTCCATTCTGCCTTTCCGACCCACCACCAGACCCACCACGGTAGTTAACAAACACTTGAAAAAGGCATTCAATAATTGTATGGTACTATCCTAATTAATACTTACGAAACTATGTTTGCCATTATTCATAACTAGCAATTACTTACCTTTATGACCGGTTGAATTTTATTCCGTAAGATTATTTGACTATCGTTGGAAAGCATTTATTTCGGGGAGTGAACGAAACAAATTTGCACTTCCCAGACAGGTGTTAAATGTATTTAGGGTTTGGCTAATTCTCTTCAGAGTTATTGTTTCACAAATTCCCGACTAAATACTTCATAGCATCAGGGGATCGGATTTAAAGGCGTTATTAATACGCGGCTTTATTGTGCATTCTTTTTTGTCAATTCAATTTAGTATATATGCGAGACCTGTTGACCAAGCCAAGGTAAATAAAAAATTTTACGGCATTTGAATGCGTATCGAATGGAAGTTTGGATACTTTTGCACGTAACGTAACGAAGTAAAAAATAAAAACAAACAACACGCTTGTCCAACGCCGAAGGGTTCTCGGGGTGAGGAAACGTCGAGAACTACAGGGTCCTCTACATGCTCATAATGGCGATTCAAACCCGACATAGGGGCGGAATAGCACGGGAGCGGAAGGAAAGTTAGCTGGTCGCGCAGAGGGGTGATTGGGCCAAAATGCGAGTGAAAGCGCCGCTGAATGAGCGGGAGAAGCGGGAGGAACGCATGGGAGTGACGGAGAAGGACAGGTCGCGAAGGCAGAAGTAGACACAGAAAATAGAGAATTGCAGCGTTTCGGAAAAGTCCAAGGGTAATGATGAGGAGTGTAATGTGGTCGAGAATGGATGCGATGAGGAGTGCAGTGTGTGGGAGAATGGAGAGGGAGAATAAAAAAGATAGAATGAGTTTAAATGAGGCGTCGAAAACAGTTGCTCCCAGGAGCGAAAGGAAATTTTGACTCGAACTGAGTAGTTCAGAAGTGTTTTTTTAGAAGGTTCACTCTCTCTTGAACTATTTCTCCGTAATTAGTAATTCTGCAGAGTCACTCATATTACTCCATCGACGTGAATGGACTTGAACAGTTCTGAAATAGTCATATGACGAGAGGATAAAGATGCTCATTATAAATAGTGGGCACGCAGGTTTTGGTGGAAGATTAAAAGAACGACAGAGCCCCGGACGAACGGAAAGCCGCTGATAATTCACGAGCGCAAAGGGCAAAGTAAGTAATAGAACGGGTTGGCCACGTCAATATATCTTAGGAAAATTAGAAAAAGTACGATGTTATTAGGCATGGCTAACCCACCACCCACGTCAATCAAACGAGCAGAAATGACGCGGGCATTAACTGATGTCATGTAGTGCTCTGACTGGGAGGTCCTAGGCTTGATCCGACGGTGGCAGGATTTTTTATAACTGCCTGATAGCTAGGCTCGATATCTAGTCTTCCTGTCTGGAGGAGAAATTTTTTTTTTTTTCTAGTGGCTACCGCTTTGACGCGGTAGTTTTCTTTTGTTCTTCTGATGATAACAAGGTGAATGCGGAGCAGTACGCTAACAAACGGTACGGTCACGCGCGATGCTTTCCTTCTTCTTGTTGTTCTACTCTCACTCTTACAACCACACACACACTTAATAATAATACAGTTCTAAACTTGCCAGACCGACCTATTGGGAGTTTAGAGCTAGTCCGGATGGAGCGGCGCTCCGCTGGGTGCGAAATAATCTGATTCGTTTTTGGACTCATACCTTAACAGTTTGACGCACATAAAATCAGCTAATCAATTAATTTATAATCATGTTAGTCGATTACTACTTTAAAACAATACACTCTCAAGCGATTAACATGCTTAAACGGCACACGCCGCGATGTTCCATTTTCATACACGCTTCTCTGTTTGTCACGGCGGAGTGGCAGATGCCGCGGGACGCGTCGAGGTCGCAAAGGCGAGTGTGCGACTTCATTAGCTTGCGTCCATAACGCCCTCGCCGCGCCGCAAGTGTTTGCCAATTAGCGAGAAAGCGCGATCTTGCCCCGGGTGTTTGCCGTTCGCTTCTGAAAGCGCACGGCTGGGCTGCCCCGCGCGCGGACGTTGATAACTTGCGTCACTCGGGGTCTCACGCACGTCCACGCTTCTCTGAGCTCACAAGCACGCCACGGCACGCCAGGCACGCAACGCACGCTGCCTAAGTCACACGCATGATCACGTCAGTCGCCACGCATGCGACGCCACGTGTGCGACGCGACGCACGCACGCCAGCCAACGCACGCCAAGCGCCACGCCCACGCCACGCCACGCACGCACGCCACGCACGCGAATCGCGACGCACGCCACGCCAGCGCCCAACGCAAACGCCACGCCACGCACGCCACGGGACGCGCACGCGACGCGACGCCGGGGCAGGGGGGGGGGGGGGGGGGGACGCCACGCTTGGCCATGCGACGCCAACGCCACGCAGCGACACCACGCAGCAATGGCGCACCCGACGACCACGGCATGCGACGGCACACGCCAGCGACACACGCCACGCCAGCCAGCGCGCACAATCACGTGACACATGCGGTGCCACGCACGCCACGCA